CTCCAGTAATATCCTGGAGTCTCCAGGAATTAAAGATTTTTTCCACCCCCCTGAGCAACGTAGTTATACCAACCTAATTTTATATAGTGTAGACTAGGCCAAAGTGGTGCATCCTCTGCAACTTGAAGTCTTTAAATCAAGATTTGAGGACTTCAGTAACTTAGCCAGAGGTTATGGGCGGGTGAGGTTCTGTGGTCTGCAACGTGCAGGAGGTCAGACCAGATGATCACGATGGTCCCTTGCGGCCCTCAAGTCTATGAGTAGAGCCCTGCATGGATGCAAACACTGTATCCGCACCTGATCTGCAAACACTGTCTGTGGATATCCATGGCTATAGAGCAGATATCTACAGATTTGCATCTATCTATGAGTCTATGAGATTTTAAAAGGTATTTAGGTGCCTAAAAAATACAGATTGGATGGCTAACTCTCATTGATTTCGCTGAGAGTTAGGCAGCTAAGCTATTTAAGCATTTCTGAAAACCCCACAACGCATCTATCTGTATCTTTGGGCACCTAAATACCTTTGAAAACCTGGCCCATGGTGACCAGAAACAATCCATCAATTCAATACCTATGTCAATATTATTGCTTAATCAGTTTTAAACACAAAATGTGTTTTGATCAACTTTGTTTTCTTGTGTATCCAGCACGTTTATGGTAGTTTTATGTAAATAAAAAAAATCCAATGTTAAAATGCTGCTTTTGTACATTTTTAATTGGACGGAAATTGGAATTCAAACATGGCTTGACAAACACCCATAAAAATCATTGCCTAGTAAATAAGCGATGCACCATTCATCATTTTTTTAAAAAGTAAAAACTGATAATCTGAATAAATCTACGTAAAGCTATATAATTGTTTTAATAAATGTGTATAGATATAATGTATTCTCCTGGAAAGTAAAAAGTACCACCATCTTTATTGTAAAGGCTATATTTGGTTGTAAATCAGCATGTATTAATCCTTATGCCGACCAAACAGAATGAACTTACTTTAGGAAAACAGCTAGAAAATACAAACGCAAAACAAGATTAAAAGCAATAATTTAAATCAATGTTTCCAGCTTGATTTAAAAAAAAAAAATCTGTGATTTAAATCAATCCACTTTAGCAAAAAAACAACAAGAGGTGTAATTACAACTGTTATTTTAGTGCAACTTTATGTGTCAATAACCCCTTAGAACAATGATGTGGGTGAGAACTCACAGCCTTCAATTCTCCATTAATGAAGTAGAAATGGAGAGCCAAAGAGATTCTGTGACTAAATAACTTAATAAACATGCACAAATGACTAATGGTACATAAAAGAATCAAATTTAAAAATCTATTTATAAGTTACTTTATTCAGTTACCAATCATAACATGCCCAATTTAAAATAAAATTGACATCACATAATGTGTTTGAAATTTTATATAAGACATCTTCATAGAGTCAAAGTTTAAGGGCAGAATGAACCACCAGATAATTAAATCTGACCTCAGGTACATTACAGGCCACTAAACCTTGCACAGCCATCCCTGCAGTAAGCCCAGCAATCAGAATTAGATCAAAGTATTATAAACCCCAGGAGACAAGCTATTATGTGCCACAGGCAAAGAACAAGAGGAACTGAGGTGCACCAATGCATGAGCCCTCCACAATGGCAGGACATTAATTTGGAGAGATATGCCCAGATGATCCTACCCCTACCCCACAACCCCAACACAGTTTCAGAATTATACATTACAGTTTAAACTATTAAAAATCCTGATGATTTTATCTACTGAAAGGCTCAAGGTGGCCATGATTTTTTCCACACGACAAAAATGTTAAAGAAAAAAAAAATCCACCAACACATACAAGATTTGCAATTAGAAAAAAAAATTAAACATACATATTTAAGACTTTCAGCAGTCATAATTTACATATCCAATGACAGAAGTCTCTGACTGGTTTCAGTTAATTTCTTCTATGTTAAGGATTTCTGCATAAAATAGGGCTGCATGCCTCTAGTGCAAAATGTACATAGAAAAAAATAAATGTTTATGTATTGTTTTGAATATGTGAAGAGCTATATAAAACAAAGTTTTTATTTATTTTATTCAAGTTTAGTTTGGCAAGCGACTTTTCTCTCTCACACCTTTTTTCATTTTTGAATGACAGTGACCCCTTAAAAAGTAATTAATTTAAACCCTGATCTTGCAGCTGGTTCCAGCCCCGTGATCCCTTGCATTTACATGGAGGAACAAGGGGGTCACAGGTGTGGACCTCATTAAAGGACCCAGGAATTAATGTTAAAATGAGATCCCTAGTGCATTTGTTCAGAATTATCAAGGAAAACAAAAACAAACAAACACCTTGCTATTATCTCTAAGGGGCTTAAACAATTTTCAGACTTTTTTAAAAACAATACATGATTACTATAAATGAAAGAATAGAGGAATATATTTCTCATTTTGTTTGTTTCCCGTGTGTATCTGACAGAACTTTGTACCTAGCTACTGTCAGAGTTTCTCTTGTATAGGCCATTTCCTTTTCACACAGCAGAAGAGAGTATTTTTTTAAATAGGAAAAGGTGAATGTAAAAGCAAGTATCTTGGTGAGGGGACATCAGGGGCAGGAAAAATATATAGTTATTTTAAAGTAGGCCATATTTCAAGTTGATAGTGTCCTTTTATAAAGAAGGATTTTCTATCCACACAACAATATACAAGGAAAGAAGTTACGACGTATCAGACAGCGCTTGAACAATTTACTTTATATATCTGAAAAAATGAACTGCAAAGAGGAGAAATAGTGTTTTGCCAGTTACTGTTTCTCTGATATACAGAGACTTTTTAGAAAGCTGATTTTCTTTCAGTTATTAATTTAGACATATAAGCTGCTCTCACTTATTCTTTGCTGCAGAACCTGAGCAGCGATAGCAACACAAGGCTCCTGCAGCTTTAACTGTCCCAAATGAGCGATGAGACAATGCCAATTTCTTAGGCCCAGATCCTAAAAGACTTACATACATGCTAAACTTTACATGCTGCAAGTAGTCCCCTTGACTACAGTGGGGCATCACAGTGCATAAAGTTAAGCACATACTTAAAATCTTTGCTGGATTGGGGCCTATGACAGCAACATACCATCCCCGCTTCCCTAACTTGAGAACAGGAAGAGCTGCAGATTAAACTGCAATTACTATTGAGGTTTTTGAAGTGCTGAGCTAATATTTTTAGTATAGGTAGCAGCTTAGTGGGTGGGGGAAGAGAAAAAAAAATTGTATCCTTCTTGAAGAGCTTTGTCTCTCTCTGGTCTACTATTTTATTGCCTCCACATTAAAAGACCACACACTCACTCCACTTATTTGCCAGCAACCTTTTGTTCAAGCAATGGCTCTTTAGAGGCAGGCCACTGTTCAGTGACAACTGCTTCTGTCCACATTGGTATCAACCACACTGTTTTACAGATCAGAAAAAAAAAAATAAAAAAAATCAATGTATCTTAATAGGATATAAATTTTAAAGCTTAAGCATTGAAGTTGAACTGGTAAAGCGTGTGGTAGGGGCCACTTTTATTTTTATATAGAGTATTGTATTCCAAACAGTAGGAATTTCCCCCTATAATTACCAGCTGTGCTATATATTACAAACTTCCAGACAATAACCAAGTCTGTAGTTTATTTTTAGAATTTGAGTGATACTGTTCTGGTAAACATGAACTACACCTTAACATAAGGAAGTATCTTGGACACTGCCATATTACATTGTTTTGTTCCCCCCACCCCCTAAAGTCAAATGAAGGAATCAGTTAAGTACAGTTAAAGTACAGCTGTATAAATAAATATACCTATCCACACTCTGTAATGCATGTAGAGATCCAAGCCAACACACAAGACAACACATATTTGTACTCCCCCCCTTCCACCCCCTCCCCCAAAAAAGGTATTTCAACACTAACAGAAATTAGTGGTCATGCTCAGGAGGCACCCAAACCCCTTTCCTTAGACCATTAAACAAAAACAAAAAAAACCCACAACCCTGCAGTCTGACTATTCCATTTCCTGCGGGAAATTAGATTGTATTAGATACACTTACAGTATAAAAACCACAGGGGTATTATCTGGGATTAAGCCTCTAGAGAAGACTATTAACTAATATCTGTAAAGAGCAAATGGCAAGCAGCACATAGTATTTCCGAAAAAACAAGTCACCTTGCAGGGTTGTATTTTTGTTTGGTTTTGGGGTTTTTTTCCCCCTTGAAAATAGGTAAGTGAACCACTATCCTTGGAACAAGTATATGCTAAAGAATATACATACCCATGCCGAATTACTTTCCCTCATATGCCCTAGACCTTCCCTAAAATAACCAGCCCATTATTTCCTAGCATTTCAGCAGTATGCTCATTAGGAGCTACAAGCCTGTACTACCACTTCCTATTAAGCCATCAGTGGTTCCACACAAGTAGCAAAGAGGAGGCTCTTTGACAGATCACATTCTTTATTCAAAGCCATTTTCATCTTCCATGCATCTGATTTTCGAATTCCTGAGATACCAGCACAAGCGCCGTTTACTTTTCGGCTAGACAACACAGACACACACACCGCATACCACGCACTCCTCCTCCTCCTCCCAGCTGAAAATGAAGCCTGCTCGTTCCCGTCTCCACATCACTTCTGCTTTGCTGCCTGGGTGGAGCAGCTCGCCTTTTATAGGGCTAGTTACAAATCAAATTCTCCATCGCAAAACCATTTCAAGATCCTGGGAGGTGGAACACTGGGGAAGAAAAGGTGGAAACCTGGCTGGGGGAGAGAGAGGGCCAGCAACCTGGGGGAGAGGGAAAGGAGAAAGAAGGAGGGAGACAGAGGGGGAAGCAGAGCTGTGGAGAAGAGAAGAAAGGGGGAGAGGAAGGAGAAGGACGAGACAAAGGAGGGACTATGGGGGACGCCAGAAGGGCTGGCTGGGAGCCCGGCTGGGCACCTGCCGGCCGAGGGCTGCGCGGGGGCGGCCCGACTCCCCCTCGCACACGTACCCAGCAGCAGCAGCCGGTGCGTTTGCTTGTACTCCCGCTTCTGCTCCTTCAGCGCCCGGTCGATGCTCTTGCTGACTTTCCTCGCCTCCTTCTCCGCCTCCCGCTCCTCCAGGCGCAGCTTCTCCCAGGGTCTCTGCAGCGCGGCCGGCTGAGGCGGCTGCCGGGGCTGTTTGCCGCCGGGCTTGGGCAGCGGCTGCCGCTCCGGGGCCGCCCCGTTGCCGCCTCCGTTCTGCAGCAGCAGCGGCGGCGGCGGCCCGTCCGCCTCTCCCCCGGGCTTGTCTGCAGGGTGGAGCGAGCCCCCGGCCCCCGGCTGCCCGCAGCAGCTGCCTCCCCGCGGGGCTCCGAGCGGCTGCGGCGGGGGAGCCGTGTGCTCTGCGGGCTGCTCGGGCTCCGAGGCGGCGCTGGAGATGGAGCCGCCTCCGCCGGGGTCCCCAAAGAGCCGCGGGCGCAGACTGTAGCAGAGCCCCATGGCTCGGTGCCCCTCCCGGGGACAGGCTCTAGCGCGGCGGGGCTGACCTCAGCGCTCGCCGCTGGCCCTGCGCTGCCGGGGTCCGGGCGGGGAGGGGGCGGCGGGGAGCCCCTCACGGCCCCGTCGGGCCATCTTGCATTTTCCTCTCCGACTCCAGGCGGCTCCTCCGCTCAGATCACCTGACACGGAGCTGCCACCGCCGCCGCGTCCACCTTACCGTAAATACCCCAGCGTAAGCCCACCGCGCAGGCACAGAGCGGCGGGGAGGGGAGGCCCTCGGCCCACACTGACAGGCTCACAGCCATCCCCTCCCACAGAGCCTGACAGCTATCCCCTCGCACGTCACAGCCCCCACCGGCTCCCCACACACATTGCCAGCTCCTCTGCGCTCAGAGCCGTCCTCTCAGCCCACCCCAACTGTGTTATCGCACATCCCTTCCCTCACACACACAGCCCCCCACACTCCCTCCTCGCCCCCTTCCCTTACCCGGACAGACACACCCTCTGTAAACATCCTCCTCAGACTTATCCCCCTTCCTCCTTTATACACTCACCCCCACCACATCCCTTACACCCAGACACCCTCCATAAACTTTCTCTCCTTCCTTCTTTATACACGCACCCCTCACCCCTTTCCAGACACCCTCCGTAAACGTCCTCTCCTTCCTCCTTTATACACACACCCCATACCCCTTCCCGTATACCCAGACACCCTCCATAAACGTCCTCTCCTTCCTCCTTTATACATGCACCCCTAACCCCTTCCCATACACCCTCCGTCAACTTCCTCTCATTCCTTCTTTATACACTCACCCCTCACCCCTTCCCTTACACCCTCCGTAAACGTCCTCTCTTCCTCCTTTATACACTCACCCCTCATCCCTTCCCATACACCCAGACACCCTCCTTAAACATCCTCCTCAGACTAATCCCCCTTCCTCCTTTATACACGCACCCCGCATCCCTTCCCGTACACCCAGACACCCTCCGTAAACATCCTCTCCTTCCTCCTTTATACACTCACCCCTCATCCCTTCCCTTACACCCAGACACCCTCCGTAAACTTCCTCTCCTTCCTCCTTTATACACGCACCCCTCACCACTTCCCTTACACCAGACACTCTCTGTAAACTTCCTCCTCGGACTTATCCCCCTTCCTCCTTTATGTACGCACCCCTCACCACTTCCCTTATCCCAGACATGCTCTATAAACTTCCTCCTCAGACTGATCCCCCTTCCTCCTTTATACACACACCCCTCACCACTTCCCTTACCCCAGACACCTTCCATAAACTTCCTCCCCAACCCCCCTTCATCACTTACACACCCAGCCACCCCCCTCAAACCTCCTCCCTTATCCAGACACACAGCCATCAGCTGCCCTTTTGTCACAACCCCTTCTTCTCCCACCCGCTCATAGATACAACCCCCATCAGCCACGTATGCCTCCCAACTTCCTGTACCCTCAAAACACTCACCATGCGCAGAAACAGGACTTCCCATCCCTCACACCGAGCTCTGCCCCCAACAGCTGCCTAATGAGGTAAAGCCATTAGAGAGGCTAGTTGAGGCATGAACCATTCTATCCTTAACAAAAGATAGAATCATCACCCACATACACTCATTCATACAATCCCCTCATACAGCCATAAGCCTCCCATCTCCACATTCACAAGTTCCCATACACTAAAACAAAACCTCCAATCATATACCTGCTCAGCTTCCCACTTCACACAGAGTAGTTATGGAAAGGGACTTCAGACCTGGTGGTGCTAGAAAATAATGGAGAAAATATATATTCAGGTTTGTTCTCTCTCTTGCTCTGTACCCAAATGTTAATTGTAGTACTCTACCACAACTCATACTGCTTCAATTGCTGTATAGGGATGGATGGCACTTAAAGTCATGCTGTGTCATGTTGAATGATAACTGTGGCCATACACATAAGAAATCTTGGACAAAGAGACTACTTTGTCTTCTCACTTAATGTTACAAATATGTCAAATATGCTTTGTCCCAGCTTCCTCCACTCTGTGTGCATCCTCCACATCTCAATTTTCTACTGTAATATTTGAAAATTTCACTAATCTGCCTATTAAGAGACCTGTTTGTTTGGGGGTAGGAATAATATTTCTAAATTGCTACACTAATGGCATTGGTAGAATTCTTATGATAAAAATATACCTTAGAGCGATTTATAGTATCAAATAGGACCTCTTGATTTGTTAATATCTGCAATATGATAATAATGATTCTCTATACCGGCTAATAACATTTCTCTAGACTTTTTAGTAACCTTGCAGCAGCATGTCAATTTCTTGGCATGTAATATTTACACTGACCAATAATATATGAACAGACAACACTATTTATAGCCTTTTTTTATTAAGAAGTGGATGAAGCTAGTGTCTCTATATTCCTTAGTGATGAGACCAAGTTGGCAACAGTTTTTAGTTCTTGGATAAGAGAAAGGGAAAGATCTTTCATAAATACAACTCCATGTCCAACAATTTAATGAACATCCCTGTCAATATATATTTAGGAAGCATTTATAGCCTTGCATTATCTTTCACTGGGAAAAGACAACACATTGCCATGAAAGAACTAGATCCTTGTAAAACTGAGAATTAAGGATTCCATCCTGCACTATACAAACCAAATTTTGCCATTGACTTCCATAGTAATAGTATCAGGCCCATAGTAGAAATTTGGCTGTAATCCCACTCACAGTATTGATCCTTGCACCAAATAAGAACATCTGCCTTATCATCTCGGAATGGAGTGCACTTGTTTTTGTTTCTGTTAAAAATTCTTAATATTTCACATTTATTATGTAGTTCTTTCTTGCAATTGGTTTCTAAAGTACATGACCAACTATATATCAACAACAGAAATTACTTCACCCATCACTGAAATATATCTAAACTGGAAATCAGTAGGTGTTTTAACAGTCCATAACAGTACACCACATTTTAGGACATAAAGTGAATAGTGTTCCCAGTTGAAATTACAGGGGGAATTTCAGTGAGCAGAATGTAATTATCCAACATGGAATCTGGTGAGATGGGAGTAACACCCCTATACTCACGAGTGTTATTATATGTTCAATGACTAGAGCTTGTCAGTACATTGGTTTTGTGTCTCCTCCAAAAGATGGAAGAGGGAATTTATAGAAAGAAGTAATATTTCTTTTTTATATCTATTTAAATTAAGGGCCCAAATTAAGGAAAAAAGGTGCCATTTGAGGGTCCAGTCCTCAATTCTTGACTTCACTAAAATTGACATAACTATCACATGCTTAAAGTTAAGTACATACAAAAATATTTGTGGGATTAAAGGGTTACTTTTCAAATATGATAGGAAATTCCAGAATCTGGTAAAATTACTCCTTGCATTTGCCCATCAAAATGTCCTCTTGGCCTAGGATGAATATGTGCAGATCCATTTTCTAAGTGGAGTAAGTGAAGATCGGAGCATTTAAATCAGGGGTTCTCAGATTTTTTACTGGTGACCCCTTTCATACAGCAAGCCTCTGAGTGCGACCCCCCTTATACATTAAAAACACTTTTTAATATATTTAGCACCATTATAAATGCTGGAGGCAAAGGGAGGCTTGGGGTGGAGGCTGACAGCTCACGACCCCCCCATGTAATAACCTCCCAACGCCCTGAAAGGTCCGACCCCCAGTTTGAGAACTCCTGATTTAAGTGATTGGACAATTGGAAAAAGGCAAATATAATGCCCATCTTTAAAAAAGGGAAGAAGGAGAATCCGGCTTCACCTCAGTCCCCGGAAAAATCATGGAGCAGGTCCTCAAGGAATCCATTTTGAAACACTTGGAGGAGAGGAAGGTGATCAGGAACAGTCAACATGGATTCACCAAGGGCAAATCATGCCTGACCAACCTGATTGCCTTCTATGATGAGATAACTAGGTATGAGGAAAGCAGTGGACATGATATACCTTGACTTTAACAACGCTTTTGATATGGTCTCCCACAGTATTCTTGCCAGCAAGTTAAAGTAGTATGGATTTTAAATTAGTGTGGATTGGCTAGATCGTCAGGCTCAACAGGTAGTGATCAACGTCCCTGTCTAATTGGCAGCCAGTATCAAGCGGAGTGCCCCAGGGGATCGGTCCTGGGGCCGGTTTTGTTCAACATCCTCCTTAATGATCTGGATGATGGGATGGATTGCACCTCAGCAAGTTCGTGGATGATACTAAGCTGGGGGAAGAGGTAGATATGCTGGAGGGTAGGGATAGAGTCCAGAATGACTTAGACAAATTGGAGGATTGGGCCAAAAGAAATCTGATGAGGTTCAACAAGGACAAGTGCAGAGTCCTGCACTTAGGATGGAAGAATCCCATGCACTGCTACAGGCTGGGGACCAACTGGCTAAGCAGCAGTTCTGCAGAAAAGGACCTAGGAATTACAGTGGATAAGAAGCTGGATATGAGTCAACGTTGTGCCAAGAAGGCTAACGGCATATTGGGCTGCATTAGTAGGAGCATTGCCAACAGATCGAGGGAAGTGATTATTCCCCTCTATTTGGCACTGGTGAGGCCACATCTGGAGTATTGCGTCCAGTTTTGGGCACCCCCACTACAGAAAGGATGTGGACAAATTGGAGAGAGTCCAGTGGAGGGCAACAAAAATGATTATGGTGCTGGGGCACATGACTTATGAGGAGAGGCTGAGGAAACTGGGCTTATTTAGTCTGCAGAAGAGAAGAGTGAGGGGGGATTTGATAGCAGCCTTCAGCTACCTGAAGGGGGGTTCCAAAGAGGATGGAGCTAGGCTGTTCTCAGTGATGGCAGATGACAGAACAAGGAGCAATGGTCTCAAGTTGCAGTGGGGGAGATCTAGGGTGGATATTAGGAAACACTATTTCACTAGGAGGGTGGTGAAGCACTGGAATGGGTTACCTAGGGAGGTGGTGGAACCTCCATCCTTAGAGGTTTTTAAGGCCCGGCTTGACAAAGTCCTGGCTGGGATATTT